CCCCCCCGGGCCTGTTGTTGGTTCCTGTGGTGTGCACCCCTCCTGTCAGACTGTGTTGGGATGCCCCGATGGTATCTGAATCCCTACGGCCATCAATGGACAAGAAAGAAGATGGTATTATTGTACTCACCGTAACATCCTATTCTTGGAGTCTCTAGGCTCCGCCCCTCTATGTTAATGATAATGCTTCTTGGACCTACTTGCGGCAGACTGAGGCATGCTGGGAGTAGGAGGGGTTATACTGGACTGGCCTACAAATGTTTTGTTTGCCGGTCTCCAATCCTCCTGCAGACGGCAGTATAACCCGACAGTATCTGATCCCTATGTCCCTCATTATACTCCAAGTAGAGGATGTCATGGTCCTTGGAATACTGAACCATGTCTCCTTGACTATATTACACAGTGGTGGGTCCTCCACCCTGTCTTAGGGTTGAATCACTCTGTGTTTGTGTCATTGGTCACAGTTTGTCTTAAGGATAATCCCCTCCAACGGCTCCGGGGTCTGGAAGGAAGGCATTGTTCTGTGTTTATGTAATTATCTCCTGGGACTTCTCTGTGTCATTACCAATATCAGCCCTCCCCTTCAAGTTATCGGACCAATCCCTGCTGACCCTGTTTCAAGTCCTCCTTTGCATGGCCACACATATCAGCCCTCCCCTTCAAGTTATCGGACCAATCCCTGCTGACTCTGCTTCAAGCCTTCATTTGCATGACCAATAGGAAGGTGTTGGTTTGGGCGGGTTGTTCAAACTGTTGTGTATAAAAGGGTGTGTGTGCATTCAATAAAGCAGATCCCTGTTGGAACTTACATACAGCCTGCCTGGTGTTTGTTCTGAGCTGGATTGGAACGGCACATAGCTGTAGTTCCAATCCCGGATTATCGGACGATCGAAGGATCAGACGTTGCGGTCTGACCTCTGATCTATTAGTAGCAGAGGAGTGCCGGGAGAGTGGAACCGAGCGAGCAGGGGCTCGTTACAGAGGATTATAAGGTGAGTACAGCAATCCTCTGGTACTGCTCTGCGGGGCCCTCTGCTGGTGGAATGTGCATTGACGGGGGGGCTTCTCTGTCCGCAGTGTTCACTCCCTGCCTGGCTACCATCCTGATGCTGTACAAGGACCAGTCGTTACACGGTGCGGTCAGCAGAGGTCATCGCTGCGGGGTCATCCTGGACCGGACCTGTTACTATACTGAGCAGGGGGGCCAGAGCTCGGACCTGGGGTATTTTGTGCGTGAGGGCGAGCAGGTAAGTGCCCCCCGTACAGCGGGGGAGATGGACCAGTCGTGTCTTGCGTAGATCTCTATGGTTGGCTCCTCCTCTGCTCTCTCCGTAGGACGTTCTGTTTCCAGTGGAGTCCCTACACCTGGCGGGAGGCTACGTCCTCCACGAGGTCACCGCCACGGAAACCCTGAGGGTTGGGGATGGCGTGGTGATGTTCCTGGATGAGGTATGTGATGGAGGTCCGGGGGTGTGTGATGGAGGTCCGGG